AATAGGAATCGTGCAATGACGAGAGCCAGTCAGAAGAGAATAGAGAGTCATTCCACAACCGAACATTACAAGTTCTAGTAAAGTCAAGATCCTTTTTCACGCCTTTAGGCGTATCGAGCAAAATGGGAAGAGGGCCCATATTTTTACAGACCAATCGGCACTAGGTGGGTAATGTGGTCAGCATTACGCCGCCTGTCTTTACTTCCCCGGGACAGCTATCCTGGTACCAATTTTAGACTGGGTCGACCTGCGACGCCCCATACCATGATAAAAATCCACGCAGCCAGCAGTGGATACGTTGGAATTACGAGTCGGACTCGCAACGCCTAGGCCACGGACGCCGCATCAGTCCTAGTACTAAAATCTTTTTCGAAACCACCATACGCAGAAATCAATATCAGGTACGTTGAAGAATCTGAAGCGCGTTCACTATCCTTTTAGTAAAACAGTGGCATATATATATATATATATATATATATATATATATATATATATATATATATATATATATATATATATATATATGAAGAGGATAATGGGAGGAGTGTTACTAGTACGTCGACAACGCTGCCAAGAATGTGAGCACTGTTAGTAAAGTTCGGTACAGTCAGGCACGAGAGGCACACTAGATATACGAGAGATCTGGTCAACCGGCCACGGAACGCCGATGTGCACTGCGAGTTAGTTGAATGTAAAAAGTTAGTTGCGTATCCTTTATAGGACGTTGCAGAACCAACCCCAGCAATTTTTGGCTGTTGTCAATTCTCTAGGCCTACTTTACGTTCAGTAGTTTGCCATTGTCCTCCGAACGGTCAGCTGTCGGTACCACTGTCAAAACCAGTGCAAGACAAACGGTCCGCAGCTGTGATCGAATCCGGCACCCCGGCATTACGAAGTGCGTTCATAACGCACCAGCCACAGACACCGTTTTCACTAGGACAATTCCTCCTCCGCTTCCCTCTCTTTTTTTTTTTCTCTTTACAGTGTCTCTCCTCTAGGTCCTTCCAAACAACTTCAGTTGCCCCGTTTTATAGAACTCTGGAAAATGACCCAGAACAGAACATACACTTATGGTTATATAAATATACAAACTGAAAAGTAAAACACTAAATTAGTGGAACCAGTAATAAAACAAGGCGTCAAGTTCAACTAGCAAAGATAGTAATTGTCATTCCATTTTGAGATGCATTTTTTCGTAATTTGAAGCCCTACTCTGGCTCTTGTCAGGGGCCGCAATATAGCCCCGCCATAAACATGGTCTAATGGCTGAACGTGGTTTCTGGGACCACTCCACGGGTGATCCTCATCCACATGGTGGCACATTGTGTCATCGGGTGTTTATCGCTTGTGTGATGTCCTGGTATGGTAAAAGAAGATAGATGGGAAGATATTTTTAATATTAATTCACTACTATATCCTGTACAATTGATCGGTCTATATAACCTATATAATTTAGTTCCTGAACAATTAATAATATTATTATACATTTTAGAAGAGTTAGTTGGGGGGGGGGGGAGGGGGGAGAGGGGGGAGAGGGGGAGGAGGGGGAGGGGTTGTAAAGCTAAGCTGACTTGCTTGGATCCCGTTCTCAGCTTACGATTGCATGGTCACCATAACTGCGAGGGAGGGGGAATTTGAGCATCTATGGACGTGCCCGGAGGATAACTCAGCTCATACAACTCATTTGAAATTATTTGTATAATTATTATTTATTATTTTTTTTTCGGTTGGCTTTTTTAAAACCCTAAATTCCACTAATGTCTTTATCATCATCAGGTGCCTTGCCGACTGGCGTGGGCGATCACACCTCTCCATAATCTGCGATCTACTGCAGTATGTATCAGTTCGTGTGCCGACACACCTCCATGCCATGCAACAAGACTGTCAAGCATCTTCTCTCGTTGTCTTCCACTATCTCTCCTTCCACATATCTTTCCAGTGGTCACAACATGTTCTATTTTCCCTCTTCTCATAACATGGCCGAAAAATTATGACTGTCTCCTTCTGATATCTGTGATAAGTTGTTTTCGGGCTTCCGCCTCTTTCAAAACCTCTTGGTTGCTCTTTTTGGCTGTCCAAGGTATTCTAAGCCTTCTTCTGTAAAACCACATCTCCGAGGCCTCCGGAAATTGTTTGGCCTGCCTACTGATTGTCCAGGATTCACAGCCATATGTTAAAACTGGATGTATGTAGCAAGCAAGAATTCTTTTTCCAACTCTCAATGACAAAGATATATTGCACAAGATGTTTTTCATTTTATAAAATGCAGTTTTTGCATGTCCTATTCTATTTCTGATCTCAGTTATGCATCTTCCATCTGATTTACCATGTACCCAGATACTTAAATTTCTGTACTTGTCCTAAAATAACACCATCAACTTTTATTAAACACTTAGGAATAATTCGTTTCTTTGATACCACCATTACTTCTGTCTTCCCACTATTGAAACTAAGGCCCATTCTTCCACTTTCTAACACCACAATGTCTATCATTTCCTGTAGTTCTTTCTGACTTGTTGCTATCAAGACTGTGTCATCAGCATAACGTAAATTGTTTATATTGTGCCCACCAACCACAATTCCTGGCATATCAATTAAAGCTCTCATTTTATATTTACTGTATATTGAAAACAAATCAGGTGACATTACACATCCTTGTCTTACGCCCCTCTTTATGCTTTGAAATGTACCTAAACAGTTGTAAATTCTTATAGCTGTTGTTTAATTTTTCTAACAGTTTGATTACTTCTTCATGCTTCACACAGTCAAATGCTTTTGTATAGTCTATGAAGCAAATGTACAATGTCTTTATAGACAAGCAAAACAATACTGTAATACAGAAACGAAAAAAAACAAAACCATTTCTACTGAAAATAATTCTCGTGCCGGACAAACGGACACAAAAAGCCAGACAAGCCAGCAGAATCAGCGGTAAATTTACTGGGATCAGGGTTGAATGCTAGAGCGATTGCAACAGTCAGAGGATAGGAGATACCCCGCCATAATTGATTGATGGTCGACCCCCAGCAGAGAATTCTCATGTGATGGATACATTTGCCCGTCAACGGCAGACAGTTTCGTATCAAACAGTGGCTTTATCTGGAGCCACTTGTTATTTGCTTGTAACTTCCATAGCGGCCGAACACAGACGTAAACGACCTCTCTATATGTCACATATGATATAAGGGTGTGTTTAATTAAAGATGATCCCACGTGTGTCCAGCAGACTGGTTGATAATTTATTTGTTGTGCTGATGTTGCTCGAGAATTATGGAGAAAATTACACGAAAAGTGCCAGTCTATCAGCCCTGTAAAGACCAGAAACACACCAAACGCATCAAAAAAAAAAAAAAGAGTAGAATG